GTTGTGGTCTCTCCCGTTGCGGAGCACAGGCTCTGGACGCGCAGGCTCAGTGCCATGGCCCACGGGCCCAGCCGCTCCGCAGCATGTGGGATCTTCCCAGACCGGGGCACGAACCCGTGTCCCCTGCATCGGCAGGTGGACTCTCAACCACTGCACCACCAGGGAAGCCCCACGATATGAATTTTGACTCATATTGAGCTTGATATTTAAATTTCCCAGGTCTTTTCCACATACATTTCTATTCAGATTTCCCCAAACTAATGGGTGCCGATAACTTTTGGCTTAGTTGTATTTAATCCTATTGAATTTCATCTTATATTCAGCTTACTTTCAGCAGTGACTACTTCTTCAAGGTGTTTTTGAATACTGATTCTGTCATTCATTCAGTAAACTTGTACTGGATGCCTACTGTTTGTGAGGCATGTACTAAACCCCAAAGATACGAAGGTAAATAATATATGGATCCTGTCATCGAGTTGTTCACAGTATAGTGAGGGAGAAGGTTATAGGCATCCAAACACATAAATAACGTGCACTGTGGGGAATTCCCTGGCAGTCCAGTGGTTAGGACTCCGGGCTTCTACTTCAGGGGCAAGGGTTCAATCCCTGGTCAGGGAACTAAGATCCCGCATGTCACGTGGCACGGCCAAACAGATAAATAAAGTCCTTAAAAAAAAATAAAGTGCACTGTGCTGAGGGCTGTAATAGAGGCAGGCACACAGCAGCGTGGGGAGATAGGGAGTGAGTGGTCAAGGCTACCTGGGAAGTAGAAAGACAAGGAAGACTCCATAATAGAAATAATGATAGAGTTGAGTTTTAAATATTGAGCATATATTTATCAGATGCACAGGTGAAGAAAAACATTGCAAGTGGAGGACCACCTGTAAAAGAGATGTAAAGTGGCATGGTGAATTAAAAGAACTATAAATAGAACATTATGTTTAGGGACAAGCGGCAAGAGATGATAACAAGGTATATACGAGGTTTTATTTGCCATCTAAGAAGTAGGGATTTTTGTTTATGGGAAGCCACTGAACAGTTTCAGGAAGTGGAGTCACATGCTAAATATGCATTTTATTCATCTGTTTGACAAACATTTATGAAGCTCCAAATTAGTGGTGGCAGGAGGTGGAAGGGAGATTGGAGGTGGGAAAGACTAGAGGAGACTAAAAAATGATTGCAGTTGTCTAAGATAAACTGTGTATACATTTGAGAGATTTCAGCATCTGGGTGGTAGTTAAAGCCATGGGAATAAGTGAGATTTCCTAGGAAGAGCATATATAGCAAAAAGTGGAGGGTATGAGACAAAAGCCTGAGAAGAGAAGACTGGATAGAAAGAGTCTAGAGATAGGTGGAGATATAGGTATGCATGGGGGGAGGGCAGGGAATTTCAGGAAGAAAAGAATGATTAATGATCTTAAATGACTCGGAGATATCAAGTTAGCTGAGGACTGAGAAGTACCTATTGGATTTGAAAATCAGGAAGTTGTTTATGACTTTTATAGAGTAGCTTCAAGAGAGGCTAGACTGAAGAGTGAGTGGAAGGTTCGTGTAGGCAATGAATCTAGACTATTCTTCCAAACAGCTTGATGGTAGCTGGAGCTACCATCAGGGATGAGGGAAGATTTTTAGGACAGAAATGTCTTGGATATATTTATAAGTTAGTGGGGAGAGAGGCAGTAAAGAGTATGAGGATGAAAATAGAGGAGGGGGTCAACAATTGACGAATTAGGATCTCAGCAATGGGAAGAATGGATTCCAGACCATGGCTGGAGGGAGTTTCTTATACAGGAGGAGGGATGCATCCTTTTAAGATGGGAGGGAAATTGGAGGGGTAGGGAGGGGTAAATTTGAAGGTGAAGTTGCTGAGATCATTTGCTGGTCAAGAAGAGCATGGGGCTGAGTTGGAGACTGACAAAAAGAAAAGATTGTGAATAATCTTGAAGGGAGTGTACAAAGTGCATTATAAATTGTGGAGTTGGTTCAAGATTGAGAAATTGGAAGATGGAGGGGTGAGGATTTTATAGATATGAGTGTACTGGCTGGAGAGTAAATCGAATGGTCTCTCAGGATGGAAGTGTCATCAGGCAATGGAAAACCCCTATGGCATAGGATTAGGGACTACCATTCAGGCTGACATAAATATATTTATCTATAATTTGTTGATTTTGAAGCAGTAATTAATCTACGTAACTTATGATTACCCAGTATACAATGCTCCTTTTTCAAATCCCTTACTAAGACCTAAATCTTTTCACTTCCAACTTAATAAAACTATCAAAATTTTAACTTTTTAGTAAAACCATACTACTTTCTGCTGATCACAGTGGTTCTATCTGTTAAGTTGTCCTTGATTTTTTTGTTACAGATGGTGTCAGCCTGACTACTGTCTGGAATTATATCAATACCTAGGAAGTGTGATTCAATATGCAGAAATTTATTGTACTGTATTCATATTCGTTTATCATAGCAAGTACCTGTTCAGTTTAGAAACATTTTTGTATGGTTTATAATTAAAATATTGCTTTAAATAAATTAACTGGCAATGAGTAGCAATAGAATGTTGTATAAATTGCATATTACTTTGTTCGAGAGAACTTAAGCAAATTTGCTACAGAAATAATGTCTTTGTGTAACGTCACATTCCTTTTTAAAAATTAACATACACATATTCTTTTGTACTACAGATAGTGTTGCAATGCTGAAGATCAATTTAAATCATTTGCTACATGTTATTTAGAATGATTACTTGCTTCTGTGTATGTATAAGACATGCCCATAAAATAATGAGGCTACAAATGACCTACACAATTCAATATCACTAATCAATTAGTCCCACTTTGGATTTTCAAAGAGAGAACATAGTATGGAAGACCAGAAGAAGAGATCACTTTAAAAGCTTCTTCCAAATACAAGAGTTACTTGAGCTGGAGACAATCAGTCTTTTGGTAGAAGATATTTTGCCAACGGGTGGCAAACGTACAATTTAAAAATAAATTTTTCATATATTTTCTTGCACTTTTTTTCTCCCTAGATGTTTCTGTTGGCAATAACATGTGCGTATGTATCCAAAACACTATCCGGATCTTATATGAATTCCATGCTCACACAAATAGAGAGACAGTTCAACATCCCAACATCTCTAGTTGGATTTATTAATGGAAGCTTTGAGATTGGTAATGAATTACTTTTCCATTACTTCTTTTTATACATTATTTTATCCAGGGAGCTAGTCTGAATTTTACTCTCCTTATTTTCCACTTTGTACCATTTAATGTATTTTCTAAAATGACTTAAATAGCCTAGCTGTTGTATTTAATGTATTTTCTAAATGTATGTATTTAATATATTTTAATGTATTTTCTAAATGTAATGTATTTAATGTATTTTCTAAAATAACTTAAATAGCCTAGCTCACTTTCGAATATGTTGAGAAACAATTAATTTCAATATTATCCCTGAATAACACTTAAACATCATCACATATCCCATCACGGGACTTTTTATTCTAATAGTCCTTTGGTTAGCTAGCATGAGTAGCAGAGTGTTTAGAGTACTAATATTTAATCTATTATTTGATAACCCTTAGGGCTTTATTTTCATGTTTAGAAGATATCATGGGAAACAAAGGAATCTGTTTTCAAAAAAAAAAAGCAAATATTTTTCTTCTCCTATCGTTTCTGGGAGGTTGACAATTCTCCTTTCTAAGTGCAGAGGGAAGAAGAAACAGCTTTCACATCTTGCTGAATTTATTTCAGAAACAGCTTTTAGGGAAGAATAAAGCCTTTTCTTAGGCTCTGATTTTTGTGGCCGACTGGGAAGATGTGAGGACAGAGAGAAAGAATGAAGGAGGGAAAGATTTCTTCTGTGGACAAACCCGCAGAGAAATACAAATGTCACTCCTTTACAGTTTTGTAATGGCTTTTACTTCCTTCAAGATGAAAGTTGCCTTTAATATTTTTAATCAGTATCTGAAAGAAAAATTAGGATGGGATAGAGGCAAGACTGAAACAGGTGGTGCTTGATCTTGTCTACTAGCGCTCAACTCTCTCAGACCTCATTCTGTGCCACCCGTTTGCTGGCTATGGAGATCCTGGCTGTGGAGTCAGAAGTCACTCCTTGTAGAGTCCCTGTGTAAACTCACCTCGCAGTCTAATGGAGGGCATAGTGCAAAATAATTTAACTGAATGCAGTAAGTTTGGTGACATAGGTATATGCAATGTCCTATAGGAACACAGAGGAGGGACACAACCTCACTTAAGGAAGAGAGGATCTTGAAGTAAAAAGTTTTCTGGGTGACGAAACAGGGTTAGATAAGTGTGAAGAGAATTCCAATAGAAGAAGAAGCGTAATGTTGAAACAGCATGGTAGTTGTGTAGGAAGCAACATTCAGCCCAGTGTTATGGACTGGCCACACTTCAGGTGGCAATTCCTAGAATATAGGTCTGGAGAAATGGGCAGGGGTAAGAAATGGACTATTGGAGAGCTTCGTGTGTGTGTGCTATGGAACTGACCTTTTATCCTCTAGGTAATGGAGAGTCACTAAGAGATTGGCAGAGGTTATTAACATTTCTGTGTCAAGGACCTCTTTGGCAATCTGATGCCATATAATCTCAGAATAATGTAATTGCGTAAAATAAAAACCCTAAGGGTACAAAGGAAGTCAATTATACTGGAATAAAATTATAAAAATATTAAAAGCAGGTTATATAATAATACTTCTTACCATCACATTAAATAACAATATCTACACTAATTTTGAAGTAATCATCAGTGTCAATAATATTTTGAAGTATCTGCAACAGCTGTAATGTCGTATGCAAATACCTGTAACTTCTGTTGGTGATAATTGATGACAAAATCATACATACTGTTAATACTAATGTAGTTTGTGTCTACTTTCACAGTCAAAGGAAATACTAATATTAAGTTACTGAAAATAAAGATGCAATTTTTTTTCTCACTCAAGTTCATGGAGCACCTGATTTCTATCCATGGACTTGTTTGGGGTTTATAGATAGCAGGTCAAGAACTTCTGTGAAAAGACATTGTGAAACAGAGCTCTCCCTCAGGGCAGGGGTTGCGTCCTATTCATTTATTTCATGCATCCCTAGCACCACTCCCAGTATTTCAGATATTTATTATACAATAAATGCTGGATAGTCAATGATTGGGTGAGGCTGTTAATTTAGACTTTGTTCATACTAATTGAAATATTCATTTTTCACATCAATTTTTTCTAGGAAATCTTTTGTTGATTATATTTTTGAGTTATTTTGGAACTAAACTGCATAGACCTATAATGATTGGTGTTGGATGTGTGGTTATGGGCCTTGGGTGTTTCTTACAATCACTACCTCATTTCCTCATGGACCGGTAAGTACTGCAGTCTCTGATGATTTCTTTAGGTGCAACTTTCTGCAGGAAATAAGCTTGGATTTCTTTCTAGGAACAATTCTCCTAAAGACACAGAGCGCTGTAATAGAAACTGCAAGGTTCAGATTCTGTTCCACCCGCCTGTTCTGTGCTCTTAGCTGCCTGGCTTCCACTTACATGTCAATTTATGAAATAGAGATTTGGGACAACTCTTTTATGGAGTTGAGTCTGATGAAAAGATTCTTAGGACCTGGCAAGGTTTGGGATTACTCCTTTCTAGGGACTATTTAGACACTTCTAATTACAGTTGAGTTTCTGTTTAATTATGGGTCACGAAAGGATAGACCAGTGTGAAGGTTGATTTTCATTTTAAATTTTTATCAAAGTAATATGTGTGCAAAATTGTGAAAAGTAAAATTATATTGAAAAAAGCATTGTCGCACACCCCTTCAACATTGCTTATATTACTCCTCTCCGGAGGCAACTACTCCCGACCCTTCTAGCTCTTTCTTCTTCTATTTGCTTCCATATTTCTAAGTAAATGTTTATCCTTTTAATTTTTGATACTTTAGTGTTCTATAATATACATATTGACTTCCTACTATAAAATCATACTCACTATTCCATGTGTGTGACTATGTAAATGTTTTTCGTATTTCAGCTGAACCATGCTGTTATTTTCCCTTTCTTATATCACTTTTTATTTTCCCTGGATTTAACAATTCCCTCATTTTATATTTGATTCATTTTCTTTTTATGTCTCACTAATCATCAGCAAATTCTTTACCGGTAGGACAATGTCTTCTCAATATAGTCGTACATATCAGAGGGTTTCATTTTTGTCTTTGAGATCCCTCTCCTGTCATCATCAATTTTCCATCTGCAGTCTGAACTGGGAACTCTCCAGGCCTGCTGCATGGCTGCTTTGAAATTTTCACTCACCATTCTCCTTGGGAATTTGTTTTACCTCTTTCTTCCATTCAGTTATTTACTTCCTGGGTAGTAATATCTTCTCCTTTCCTTTTCATTCTTACTCTTTTTGTGGAAAATGTCATCTAATAGGTTTCTGAAAAAGTGTGCAAGGAAAGTAATAATTTTAAGACCGTAAACATTGGGAAATATTCCTGTTCTACTCCCATACCCAGTGACAGTTTGGATGGTATAAAATTCTGGTTTGAAGTTTTTTCCCTAGGGATTTTTTTTTTTTGCGGTACGCGGGCCTCTCACTGCCGTGGCCTTTCCCGTTGCAGAGCACAGGCTCCGGACGCGCAGGCTCAGCGGCCATGACTCACGGGCCCAGCCGTTCCGCGGCATGTGGGATCTTCCCGGACCGGGGCACGAACCCGTGTCCCCTGCATCGGCAGGCGAACTCCCAACCACTGGGCCACCCCTTCCCTAGGGATTTTGAAGACATCATTTCCAATACTTTCTAGTTTCCAGTGTTACTCTTGAGAATCCTATACCATTCTAACCCCTGTGACCAGTTTCTTTTCTCTAGGAGCTGTTAGGATTTTCCTTTAAACTCCAGAATTTGAATTCATGATAATCATGTTGGTATAAATGATTTTCCTTTATCGTGCTAGGTGCCTTCAATCTGGACATTTGTAAAAGTTACTTGTATTGTTTCTTTGATAATATCCCCCCTTCTTCCACCCCTCTACTTTCTCTTTCTAGAACTTCTACTTGTTCTTGAATATTGTTACATCCTGAGTTAAGCTTATAGTTTTCTCATCTTTTCTCTCCAACTTTCTATCTCTTTGCCTTCTTGTTATTTTTAGGGGAGATTTCTAAAGATTTTTTGGTTTTTTTGATGTGGACCATTTTTAAAGTCTTTTATTGAATTTGTTACAATACTGCTTCTGTTTTAGTTTTCTGGGGTTTTTGGCTGTGAGGCATGTGGGATCTTAGCTCCCTAGCCAGGGATGGAACCCGCACTCCCTGCATTGGAAGGCGAAGTCTTAACCACTGGACTGGGGGAGATTTCTTTATCTTCCAAACCTTTGAATGGATTTCTGACTTTTGCTCTCATATTTTTAAGTTTTAAGGACTCTTGTTCTTTGAATGTATCTTTTTAGGGAACATCTTGCTCTTACTTTAAGAATGCAATGTCTTTTCCATCTGCATTTCAAGTGTACAGTTTTTTATTTGTTTTGTCTTTGTCTTTATGTTATAGGCTTCCTTCATATATCTGGCGGTCCTTGGTTAGCTATTCATATTTGAGAGAGAGGAATAGCAACAACAAGCTAACCAGAAGTTCTGTGGTACACGTGTAGGACGTGGTTGTTGGAGGGCTTCTTCCCAGCACAGGGACTGGGTGTTTTAGAGATGGCTCAGAACTGTCCATAACCTGTCAGTTAACTTAGGCAGGGATTCTCCAGTCTGTTGCCTGAGACATGGCAGCTTGGCTACCAGCCAGGTGGGAGTGGGAGTCTTTTATCACTATGTAGATTTTTCTTTTACTTAATATCCCCAGGTTTTAGTATGGCCTCCTATCCTCAATGTGCTTGTTTGGACTCTCTGCAGTCTAAGGCCATGTTCGTTGGGATGGTGGAGGGTGTCTATTATATGGGTTTAACTGTTCCTTATGCACACTTTAAACCAATCCTCCGATTTTTTTGGATCATACCCACTCCCGCCTTTAGAAGTATCTTGTATCCTGCCTGAAACTTTCCAGGGATATGTGGCACATGTTTGGTTCCTCCCCTGCAGGCACGCACTTAGGCTTGTGTTTCTCATATTTTCTAGTTCAGTGACCACTCATCTCCTTTCCCGTTTTCAGAATCTTTATCTTCCTGTCGAATATTCAAAATCTCTTTCTCCTTGTCAAATCTTCCATTTTCTTTATCCTTGTGGCATTATGCCTTTTCCTTTACTATTTTATAATCCATCAACTGTCATTTTGCTGAAGTTTTGGGGATGAATGAACGTTGAATGAGTTATTGGGGTTTAGTGGATAAGTTAAATGAAAATGATATGTTATCTTCTCAGGTATTTCTGAAGGGATCATAAGTGTTCAGGCAAAGAGTTTTACTGTCCTTTTAGTTCCTATCCTGTCCAAGACAACATCAAGTAATATCCAGCTATTATTTACATTTCTTTCCACTCTCTGCCAAAGGTGTTATTTTTTTTGTCTGAAGCTGGCAAGTCTCATGGGATCATGGGTATGGAGAGAGAAGCCTTTGTCCACAGTTCACAGCCACTCTGTGACCATAACTGGACAATTGTTCAAAGGGGAAGGCATTTTGACCCTTTTTGTTATGTTCTATAGCATAGAAATCAGAACTATCAGTGACATACAAGCATAGCACTCTTTAGCTCATTTGGAACTCAGAAGGGCAAGGTTGTCTGTGTGTGTGTGTGTGTGTGTGTGTGTTTTGTTTTGTTTTGTTTTTGGATTTCTCTTATCTACTAGAAATATAGAAACCAGTCCAGCATAATTTCTACCAAAGAGAGACTTAGCTGGACATATTTTCTTCCATTATTGCAACTTATAATTTACTTTCTGTGAAAGGGAATGGAATCTTGTGGTAATTTGCCTAAGATAATATGGTCACAGTGTATTAACCCTTTTGTCCTTACGAGAAGAGAAAAACTCATTACATTGCACTGTCACAGTGTTTGAATCTCCAAAGTTCTCTCATTATGATGGGCAAATATTTTGTTTTTCTTGGGGATTGATGAATGCATGAAGGGATTATTGTTTGAATTCTCAGAAAGTGGGGTATATTTTTTACGAGCAAACCTCAGAGGATCCGAAGTTGGAAACTTGTTTGTTGTGTTGTTTTTCCTCCCAAAGCTTTATCTTCTTTATTATACTTCGTAGAGTCTATTATTTTTCTTCCTTTTAGTTCCTTATCCACAGCAATTATTTCCAGGAAATGATCTCCTAAAAACCACAAAGCATTGATGTTAGGTAATCTAAAGGATAGACCATACATATGCAGATAATTGAAAGCTGGCTGTCAATGAATTGCACATTTTCGTGAGTGGCAAGTTCTTTTTGATGATATCAATCTATGATGACTGGGTGGCAAACATGAAAAGACATCTGCTTTCCTGGGTTTGGATGTTGTATCTTAAGTGAAGCAGGAGCATCTTCACAACGCTCACATTGTCCTCATTGGCTCCTTAACACAAATGTGTTTTCCCTGTGTTCATACAGATATGAATATGAATCTACAGTTTCAGTTTCTGGTAATTTGTCCTCAAACAGTTTCTTGTGTATGGAAAACGGAACCCAGAGTTTCAAACCAACAGAAGATCCATCAGGTTGTCTGCTTCATTTTATTACTTTAGTTAATTTGTAACTGAACACTTTCTGTGGAGGGTTTTTGAATGAGTTACTGGGTTTGGTTAAGTAAGGTAGAGGAACAAAAAGATATTTTTTCCCCTCTAAAGGATTTTAGAGGGGATCATGGAGGAGAATAAGGAAGAGGAATGGCTAATAATAGAAAATGTAATGCCTCTTATATTTGAATATACCTATTAAGACTGCCTTGTCTTTTTTTTTTTTTTGCGGTACGCGGGCCTCTCACTGTTGTGGCCTCTCCCGTTGTGGAGCACAGGCTCTGGACGCGCAGGCTGAGCGGCCATGGCTCACGGGCCCAGCCGCTCCGCGGCATGTGGGATCTTCCCGGACCGGGGCACGAACCCGTGTCCCCTGCATCGGCAGGCAGACTCTCAACCACTGCGCCACCAGGGAATCCCGCCTTGTCTGTTCTTTAAAATGGTTATTTAAAAATCAGTTATTTAAAAATCAAAGACATCCACCCAAGGGCCACTGTAAAATTAATTCCTTAGAGGAAAACATCTTAGAAGGATGGGTTTATACTGATGATTTGGTCTATACAGTTATCTAAATAGGAAACAGAGGTGGAAACAAAGTTCAAAAGATTTGTGTTATATTATTGATATTCTATAGCAGAGAAAGCAGGCAAGTATGCTATAGTTCTGAATAGTCTCTTTCTTCTGAACTAGGAACTTGTCTTTTTTGCCCAGTTGTCCTTCTTTACCAGAGACTACTTCCTAATCCAGCACGATAGTGTACAATAATGGTGTTTCTTCCAGGTTCTTGCAGTCCCAGGCACCAGCATACCTGCCTCTGCCCCTTCATGTGCTAAAGGACCTATATAATCTGGTGATACTTAGTCTACAGGTGACCCTGTTAATTTACCTCAGACCAGAACTTCTTTTCCTGTGATGGGCACATTTTCAGGCTGGATTCATATTAGTGGAAGTTACGGTGGTTCCTTAGGCTGGGAATTTCACCGCCAGCATGGGATAAGAGGGAATCAAAATAGTTCAAATGAGTATAAGAATAGCTGTCTCAGAAACTCTAAATCAAAGGAACCCCCTGGGGAAGCAAAAGAAAACAGTGACATCAGCAATAGCCCGCGTTCTCTCCTTGAGTTGGCTTTTGCCAAAGAATGACTCAGGTCCTGTTTCCTATTTTTCCTAATGTGCATTGTAGTAGATAAACAAAACCTTCCCAGCTGGGTGTCTCTCCAGGGAAATGTGTTGATTCCTTAATCACCTGATATTTTCAGTTTTGCCCTAGAGGAAACCTGGAGTTTGCGTATGATCTATAGACATAAACATTGTGCTCATCATAGATAAAAATATGAATACCCAGCAACGGAGACTATGATTTTCTGGACTGGGAATGACTGAGAGATAGCCTCACAAGAAATTTTGAGACTCAGCTGTGTTCAGAACCCTCACATTTGTGGGTGGCACAGTTTACTAATCATCGGGAAAATGCAAATCAAAAACCACAATGAGTTATTATCTTACACCTGCCAGAATGGCTGTCCTTAAAAAGGTAACAAATAACAAATGTTGGTGAGGATGTAGAGAAAAGGGAACACTTGTACGCTGCTGATGGGAATCTAAGTTGGTGCAGCCACTATGAAAAACAGTGTGGAGGCTCCTCAAAAGATTAAAAATAGAACTACCACAGGATCTAGCAGTTCTACTCCTGGATATATATATACATATCTGAAAAAACCAAAAACACTAGTTCAAAAAGATACATGCACCCCAATGTTCATAGTAGCATTATCTACAATAGCCAAGATATGGAAGCAACCTAAGTGTGATCAACAGATAAATGGATAAAGAAGACGTGGTGAATACATACACAGTGGAATATATTACTCAGCCGCAGAAAAGAATGAAATTTTGCCATTTGCAACAACATGGATGGACCGGGAGGGTATTGTGTTTAGTGAAATAAGTGAGAAAAAGAGAAATACTGTATGTTTTGACTTATATGTTGAATCTAAAAAATGAAACAAATGAATAATATAAGAGAACAGAAACAGACTCATACGTGCAGAGAACAAACTAGTGATTACCAGTGGGGAGAAGGGTGGGAGGAGGGGGGGAAAACAGGAGGAGGGGATTAAGAGGTACAAACTACTAGGTATAAAATAAATAAAAGGATGTAATGTACAACACAGGGAATGTTGCCAATGTTTTATAATAACTTTATATGGAGTATAATCTATAAAAATATCAAATTACTATGTTGTACACATGAAACTAATATAGTATTGTAAGTCACTGTACTTCAATTTAAAAAGAAGTTATTTGGTGATCACAGTATACAGTGGGCTCTATAGAGAAAATGTGATTACTACTCAGTTAAATATTTTTCATTTCTATAAAGTAATTAGAACTGTAGAGAATTCAAAACTCAGTGAGCCTCTTACATAAATCTTATAAATATAGTCTCAATTCTAGGGAGAGATATTTGTGCTTTTTCCTCTCCTCAGAGTTAGTATATATATTGGGTAGCACTTATAACAGCTAACTAAGTTTAGTAGTTGCTGGTAAACTAACTCTCTGGAGGGAAAAAAAAGCCTTGATTTTTAGTGTTTGTCAATTTCTGTGGTGTAAATACTCTCATCAAACTACCAGCATGTTATCACTAAATACTGAATTGGGAAGAGATGTATATACTCATCTCTCCCCAGCCAGTAGGAACTGGCTCCAGCGTACCACTTATTGTTGGCCATACGTAAGTACTCTGTCAGAAAGTGCAAAAGGGGTGTCCCAGTGAGTCATTGCTGGCATAGTACATTGTTGGCAAGGTGCCATGGTCACATAAGAACTGTGAAATGCTTACCTACCAAAAACTTAGAATTAAGTATTGCTAATATTTCACTACCAAAACACTAATGTAATGTCTTTTTTTCTTTTAATGCAGAATGTGTGAAGGAAGTTAAATCATTAATGTGGGTGTATGTACTAGTTGGAAATATTATACGTGGAATTGGTGAGACTCCCATCATGCCTTTGGGTATTTCCTACATAGAGGATTTTGCCAAATCTGAAAACTCTCCTTTATATATTGGTGAGTTGGAAAATCTGCCTTAGCCTCTTTTCAGGACAGTAAGCTCCTTGAGCATGGATATTAGTTATTTATTTGGATGCTTAGTGATGAACAGAATGATGAGCACAGTGCTTTGGCACAACTGGCCCTCATTTAAAGTTTGTTGAATGGAGCAATTATGGGCTGACTCCAAATAAGCCACTTTGCTAAACCTGCTTTTTACTATTGAAAATGCCATTAATCTAGTGCCCCTGGAGTTCTGTTTGACTCCTCCATTTGCTGGGCACTACTCTATACCCAATCTGTTAAGAGATTTAGCAATGTTTTCTCCAAAATGTCTCATGTTCAAAACCTTTCTCACTATTTTCATTACTTCTGTTTTTGTTCAGGTCTTCATCACTTCATGTATATGTTATTATAATTTCTATATTGGTCATTTTATCTGTAGTATTTATAATCAATTTCTTATAAAAATTCTTGCAGTATAATTTTTCTTAACTATTTTAAATATCTCTTTAATGTTGATGAAACATACTGATTCTATCTATTAAATATGAGCTCTTTACTTATTACTAGATCTGCACTCAGTTTATCTATTTAGTTTCCTATATAGTTTCTCTTTATCACAATTTCTTTATAATAGCCAGGCTGTTTCATATTTTTCACAAATATCTGTCTTCATAATTTTGGTAATGTTTCCTGAAAATTCATTTTCTAAAATCTATCAGTATCTCCCACAATAGGCAACTTAAGATCCACCTTGTATGTTGTCTTACAATCTCCTGAATATTCTTAATTTATTATGCATAACTTGCTTATATTCCTTAGTTACTCCATCTGTTGTTGGTTATAAAATCATAACTTTGAGTACAGAGACGTTTTTGTGTTAAAGTAGAAATATCTTTTTAAAACCAGAAAAGTCAAAGTGGGTGAGAGAAGATAGTAACAGAGCTACATGTAATGAGGAGATTAAAATATTTAGGAATGATTATCCCAAGCAACTTTGGGTGATTTTGATGACTCACTGATTTTGCAATAATCTTTTTCAGTGTTTTTCTATTCAGTCTTTGAAATCCATTCACATGCTTATATTGAAAGATTACAGAATGCTCACCTGCAATAAATTAGCAAACACCTTGTTAAAATATGTGTTTCTTTTTTCAACAAATATTAGGGTATATAACACATAGAAACAATGGATAATCTCTACATGTATTAAGATGAATAAGACATTGTCCATATAAAGTTTAGTATATAAATAACTACATAATTATATATCAATAAAATCTGATAAATATGTGTATAATTAAATTTGAAAATCAAAGTAATAATTATTAATTAATAATCCGTGTATAATTAAATAATTATAAGTCAATTAACTATACATCAAGAAAACAATTCCATGTATGGCTCTGGAGTTTAGGAGAGAACATAAAAACTGGACATGAAATTTAAGAATCATCTATACAGAGACAAAAAATAAAATCAAGAGGGAGAAATGAGGTTGCCATAGGAGGTCAGATGCTACATAGTGAGGAGCCCTAGGATAAAATACTAGGGAATACTTCTACTTAAGTGAATAGAGTAAGAGGAAGAAAACTCAAAGAAGGGGTAGTCATAAGGTACAAGACTAAGACAATAAATGAATGTATAGTTTTGTATCAAGTGGTAGATTTGGGAGTGAAGCTTTCCTGAGGAATATGCCACAAGATATTTATCATAACATAGCATTTCTTTAAAAATCCTCCAAAAATATGACTGTGGAAGGCAACAAAAGAATTTTGCTCTATACTGTGACTTTCTTAATAGTAAGATCCCAGCTGTAATACTGAAGGAACCATAGAATCAAAATATCCACCCATGATACAGTAGTGATAATTCTATTCCAATACCGGACACAGTAATAGTTTACTCACAAGACACAACAAAACTCACCGAAAAAGGCCATCACTTTAACCAGTCTCTAATACCACAAGAGAAAATGGCTTTGAATCATAATAGGGACAGTCCCACTAATCTCATCTTTTTTTTTTTTTTTTTTTTTTCTGCGGTACACGGGCCTCTCACTGTTGTGGCCTCTCCCGTTGTGGAGCACAGGCTCCGGACGTGCAGGCTCAGCGACCATGGCTCACGGGCCCAGCCGCTCCGCGGCATGTGGGATCTTCCCGGACCGGGGCACGAACCCGTGTCCCCTGCATCGGCAGGCGGACTCTCAACCACTGCGCCACCAGGGAAGCCCCATAGAATTTAAAGGTTCCCATTTCCTTAGTTTTATTTCAAAATTATTATTAAGGAATGAAGTCATACATACACACTGATAATTTTAAGTAAGTTAGTCTTTCATAAGAGAAAAGGAATATTTTCATCTTCGAGAAGGGCGTTTGAACACAATATGGTCACCCAGCTGCAGCCAGTCTCTTCTAGCTGCAGATCTTTACCTGTAACCGAGTGTGAAAGAGAATTTGGAGGCTTAGAGAAAGTGGCTTCAAATTAGGAGGCTCCTGTTTCAACACTTAAACAAACATCCTTGTTACTTATACATACACCAAGTTTAATTTTCCTACAGATTGAACACATAAGGCAAAAATATCTAAGGTAAAAACAATTCAACCTTCAGACTCTTCATGGGATTAGAACTCTTTATGTGGGTGTATAACTTTATATTTTCCTTTATTTTTAGGGTTTATAGAAACAGGAGCTATCATTGGTCCTTTGATTGGACTTTCGTTAGCGTCATTCTGTGCAAATGTTTATGTTGACACTGGATCGGTGAACACAGGTAACTCCATAAAATCTATTTATACAGTGTCTAAAGTACACAAAGCATCATCAGGTATGTTACCACATTTAATTGTTACTTTATCTGACCCTCAGTTAGATAGAATCTCCACTTTCCAGGTGACCAAATTGAAGTTGAGGAGTTTAAATAATTTTCAATATTTCAAACCAGTGAGGAGAGCAAGATACAGTGCTGATCTTCTGACTCAAAATCCAGTGCTCTTTCTACTGCACTAATCATATTTCTTGTTTTCAAAAGATTTAAGCACATAGGTTTGAATTCTTTTTAAATCAAGCAATCATTTGAGGATAATGAAATAGAATTTGTAGCTCTTTAATATGTACCTATTTATAAATTCCTTACATGATAGGACAGATAGTCAAACGAGCTTATTGCTAGACAGTATTGTAACACCACATATTTTCAGACAAGTTTTATCAATGTCTGAATTATATGCAATTTCTGTACTTGGATAGAACCTGACAATTATAATTGTAATAATTTTCTATAGTTCATAAAGGAAATGATGACTCAAGCTAATAAAAATTGTGTGTATCTCTTTACAGATGATCTGACCATAACTCCCATTGATACTCGTTGGGTTGGTGCATGGTGGTTTGGCTTTTTGGTTTGTGCAGGGGTGAATGTGCTTACTGCCATTCCTTTTTTCGTTTTGCCCAAAACGCTTCCAAAGGAAGGACTAGAGGATATTGCTGAGACCATTAAAAATGACAAAGAAGAGAAACAAAGCGAAGTCAGGAAGAAAAGCGTTGGAATCACTAAAGGCAAATACAAACATTTTATATTTTACAATTTACTTTTTATTTTCTATAGTCATGTCTGTATCTTAGTCTATTACAATATGCTAGGCTGAGTTAAAACAATTTGTCACTGACAGTCAGCAGTCAATAATGTCTAGCTGTGCTACTACAATAATGTTTTCCCATGCTACCACATGGGAGTGAATGATATAGTTTAGAACCTGACTTAGATCAGCATTTATATGAAATTTTATGTCAATCTGGGTACTCAATAAATAAATAAATAAATTAGGTCCCATCTGCCTTAAAAAATCTATTTTACAGAGAGCATAGGTCTAATTAAAAATGAAACTCAAACCAAGAACAAAAGGAGGAAAAAATATACGCTAATCCAAATAAGTACCATATAGGTCTGAAACCAAAAGTATTAGCTGAGCTGTGAGCTTCTTGGAAGTTAAGGCAGAAAAGAAAAAAGGCACCTCAATTATAGGTCATATAATTATCTATATTTGAGAGTGGAAAGGATAACAATTCTTAAAGAGAAATTGTTGCCCGAGTAACAAGTTGTAAAAAAAAGAAAAAATTATATGATGTACAATACAGGTAATATTGAGTCACATAGTTGTTTTCCAGCAAATTCAGGAGCATATTTCATGTAACAGGTTTTTTTTTTTTTTGGTATAGATCCTCAATAAAAGCTCAAAGCATAATTTACAGAAGGCGTATCTATGGGAAACTAAGTAAGATAATCTATGTATAGTATTCAGGAATACTGGTTCTCAAACTTGGCCACATATTGGAATCACCTAGGGAATTTTGCATGGAAAAATTTTGTAGTATTACCCAGAGGTCTGATTTAATTAGTATAAGGTATGGCCTGGGCCTTGGAATTCTTAAAGAGTGTCCATTTGGAAGGTGGTGGGGGGCTTAGTTTCCTTACCTCAAAGATAGGGATAAAATACTATTTATTATTATAAAGTTGTTGGGCGAAGGTAAAAGGAGTTCTGACACATATTACTATTATTACTGCTTACTAGTATTATTATTGTTGATGTTGCCACTTCTACTGTCACCCGTAAATTATAATATCAATTTGCACAGAATTTTTAGCAGTTACAAATTCACTTAAACCACAATTGAACATAATTTAATACCTCTCATATCATTAGGAGCCAATTCAGAATCTTACAAATTCTCAGAGTCCTTACGATTATATTCACGACACTTGTCAAAGGGCCGGTATGGACGGGTAGGGAATTTTAACACAGAATATCATTTATAGTCTGCAAGATAAACTAGGAAAGGGCTTAACTTAGTATATGACATCTAGAAAAGAAATTGAAACTACTGAGACTCATCTATTAGGACAGTATGCCAACAAACATGTGTGACTTCAAAAGCTCCAAAGAGCTGTGAACACAAGTCACTTCTCTGCCATGTACTTTATTCATAAATATGAATTCTGCAACTAGAATTCATTTCTTTGCATTAAACTATGCTTCCTCCTCTTCCAAGTTGTTTACTGATTGATACTTTGCTAGATTGGATTTTAGGCTGTTTATTAAGCAAACCAGGATAATACACAATAAGTAAGGAAATCAAGGCAGACAACATGAAGGTAGGAAAAGTGAAAAGAAACTATAAGTGAGACTTTGACCCAAAATGGAGACAGTGTGACCTAGAACATTTGCTAGAGCTGGCCACAAATTTAGCTCTGAGCTTTGTCTGTCCACACAAACAGGAAAACATTCGGTTAACTCATTCACATGGTCTTTAATATATAGCAAATGAATCAGGATCTCAGGGAGCGAGACCTGGGGGTTGGTATTTTAAAAGACTGTGAACCGTTAGAAGCAAAGAAATGCCTAGTACTTGAGAAAATTTATATGTCATGAATTTCCACATCTAACTACATTTTAAATGTTCAGGAATGATTAATCAATATGTGAGTGTGAACTCCTTTATCAAATTGTTTTCCTTCCTGGCTTTAGAGGACAGAACAGGAGAACAAGCATCTTTCATTCTAGATGATCTCTAGAGAAGAGAGGATATTAGTACAAGTAAAAGAGAAGGATAGGGCTTCCCTGGTGGCGCAGTGGTTGAGAGTCTGCCTGCCAAAGCTGGGGATACGGGTTTGTGCCCCCGGTCCGGGAAGATCCCACGTGCCGCGGAGCGGCTGGGCCCATGAGCCATGGCCGCTGAGCCTGTGCGTCCGGAGCCTGTGCATCCGGAGCCTGTGCTCTGCAACGGGAGAAGATGAGAAAGAAATGGTGTGAACTCGGACAATATTTTTGTCATGTAACAGTTGTACTTTTTCCTTAAGACATGTTAGTAACTTAGTGAAGGCAAAACGACTGTGTTCTGATCCCTTCCCACTCAGCTGCCTCACTGTCTTGCAGAAGCTACCAAAACAATGATACAACTTTAGCTTTAAAGGGGCAAAAAGAATCAAGAAACACAAGTGCATTATAAAACAGGAAAACATACTTTAGAGGGGAGGTTGATGTTTCAGAAAAAGTCAATCATAAAATGCAAAGCCAAGTTTGTATGACACTGTTGTCATCCTTTCCTTTCAGATTTTTTACCATTCATGAAAAGTCTTTTGTGCAACCCAGTTTACATGCTTTTCATACTAATAAGTGTGCTGCAATTCAATGCATTTGTCAATATGATCTCCTTCATGCCTAAATATCTGGAACAGCACTATGGAAAATCAGCTTCAGATGCAATCTTTCTCATTGGTATGTTTGTTCTTCTCTGCAATTGTAGCCTACCTTTTTTCCCATGAAATGGTGAACAGTGTGATGATGGGTCTAGGAAACTCCTCAATTGAAATCTGTTAGGATATTTTTGCCTCTGGTAATATCCCCCCGTCTGCTCTCCAGGGAAATCAAGAGAGGGTAAGGAAGGGAAGAAGCCAGAAAATCCTGGTTTTCTTCTTTCTTTTGCTCTTTTTGTAGTCAGAATGCACATCTGAAATATTTGTGGAAAGTTCAGGGAATGTACAAGTTAGATACAATTTTCAGATTGGTAATTCATTTATGTAAAAAGGCAGACAGAGTTAACTCATCAGGAATTTTGTTTCACATCCAGGTTTTACTTTTTTGGCTCCAATTCATGAATTCCGTGGTTTCTAATTTAGTTCCCTGGCTCCCCTGGTGTTTTGAGATGTCTCTGCAGCCCATACATTCTGATTTTCCTGCAACCACACTAACCTCGGTGGTTCTACTCCACCCTGAGTTTCTCCTGGGATCTTTTTTACTGTTTTGAAAAGAGAATTTCCAGATTACATGTACCCACATCACCTAGAGTGTTTGTTAAAAGTTCAGATACCTGGGACCCATCTCAAATATACTAAATTAGACTCTCTGGAATGGGACTTGAGAATGGATATTAAACAAGCTCTCCCAAGAGTGTGATTCAGTGAACAGACCCTGGCACTGTAAGGACGAAACCTAGGGCTGTCTTTTCCCTTTTTTGGGGGGGAGGCTTGGGGGAGGGAGAGTGCTAGTCAGTAGCAGCAAGACATGAAATGTAAAGATACTTGACAATCACAGGCTCAGCAAAGTACCTCTAAAATACCTTGAGCTGAGTCAAATTCTTAACAATCAGAGTGGGAATAAAAAGCTGCAGAATCATACAAATCATTCTATGTATGATTATATAATACTGTATATGTTATATACAAATCATTATATATATAAAATCCCACCCGAAAGAATGGAAAGCAATAAATGACTGGTCGACTTTGACTTGTCACTTCTACCTAGATCCTAAGAAAAGAGATATAGACCATGATCTCTGCATACAAGAAATTTACAACTTACTGCTATTAATTAAATGAATGACAATGATAACAGTCTTCCAAAATATATTTCAATGTTATGGGGCATTTAAAAATCTCTCTGTATGTAATACATAACTAAGTGGGGATAAATTTAAATTAGGCTTCTTCACTATGAGTTGGACCTAAATGGTTTTTTATGTGAGACATATTAGATAAATGTGTTATCATATTTTTTCCTTTGCTAAGTCACTTTGTACATAATATTTTACTTGCATTTATAGGTATTTATAACTTACCTCCAATATGCATTGGATATATAGTTGGTGGTTTAATTATGAAGAAGTTCAAGATTACTGTCATACAAGCTGCCCACATAGGATGTTGGTTATCTTTAATTGAGTACCTTCTCTATTTTTTGTGTTTTCTCATGATCTGTGATAATTCTTCAGTTGCTGGCATAACCACCTCTTATGAAGGGTATGTTGTTTTCTAATGAATGTCATACTCTGTCAAAAGTTAATAACATATTTTCTACAGTGATTACGCATGACCAAATTATTTGCTAATTGGAGTTATTGGCAGGAATTTGTGGTCTTTCTCCATCTTATTAAAGAGGTTGGGAATATATCACAGAGCTAGTGAGCTTATGATTGCGTGTGTGTGTGTGTGTGTGTGTGTGTTTATCTTTGTGATATCCTAGTAGATAGTAAAATGAATATCACAGAAACTAGTTATGGTTTTAGGTTGTATTAGGATGTGTTATTCATACATTTTATACAACCATAAATAGGTAAAATTAAGAGTTGACTATACAGTCTCAATCACCTTTATATGGTTCCACGATGGGCTTAAATTTAATGTAACTGAATCCTAATACATGATATATCAATGCTTATCTAAATTTATATATTTTATTTGTATAGGTATATCTATATTGTTGAATGGTTTTAGATTTGCATTTTGAGGGTTACCTGGGTTCACAGGAAGGTTTTGCATAGTGATATGAATTTTTAAAAGTAATTTGTAGGACATATCTAGATAATGGAGTGATTAGCTGAAATGAAGAGCATCCTAAAATGATCCCTTTAAAATTACCAAGGACTATACAATTGGAATAATATTAAATATATAATCATAAAAGTAATTTTATATATTATCTTATTTGAGTCTTGCAAATTCCATTTAAGATAGCTGTTGTTATTTCCATTTTACAGATGAAGAATTGAGATTCAGAGAGATTAAATGACAAAGGGAGTCATGGAAAACCTCTTCAACTCCATCAATGTATAAAAATAGAATTTAAAATTGGTAAAATCTTAAAGATTATCTCCATCTCCAATTATCCTGATTCCCAGAGCAAATATGTAAAAAGGCATAATCTAGTCATGAGTCAGGACTTTAATTCAGTTTCTAGACTCCCATGCTAGCGTTCTTTTCATCATATTACATTGAACATAAGAAAAGTAATCTTGTTAGACCTTTAGATCTGTTTTTAAATCGAAGTATAGTTGATTTACAATGTGTTAGTTTCAGGTGTACAGCAAAGTGATTCAGTTACACACACATATATAAATATATATATATATGTATTCCTTTTTCAGATTCTTTTCCATTATAGGTTTTTACAAGATATTGAATATAATTCCCTGTGCTATACAGTAGTTCTTGTTGTTTATTTTATATAAACTATTCATTTTTTATACAATTCTATTTATTTTTTTATAGTGTATATCTGTTAATCTCAAACTCCTAATTTATCCCTCCCTTCTTTCCACTTTGGTAACCATAAATTTGTCTTCTTCACCTGTGAGTCTGTTTCTGTTTTGTAAATAAGTTCATTTGTATCATTTTGTTTAGATTCCACCTAAGTGATATCATATGATATTTGTCTTTCTCTGTGTTAGACCCTTTTTAAAAAAACTCTTTTTCCCTGGTTTTATTGAGATATAATTGACAAAAAACATCATGTAGGTTTAAGGTGTATAATCTGATGATTTGATACATTATATATTGCAAAATGATTATCACAATAAGGTTAGTTAACACATCCATCACCTCACATATTTACGGTTTTGTGTGTGTGTATGGTAACTTTTAAGATCTACTCTCTTGGGAACTTTAAAACATACAGTATTGTTAACCATAGTCACTAGGATGTACATCGTATCCCCAGAACTTATTCACCTCGTCTCTGCAAGCTTGTCCCTTTGACCACCTTTCCCCATTCCTTTTCCTACCTCGCAGCAACCACCAATCTACTGTTTCCATGAGTTCAGTTTTTTTAGATTCCACAAATAAGTGAGATCATATAGCATTTTTCTTTCTCTTTCTGACTTACTTCACTTTGCATAAAGCCCTCAAGCCTCATCCATATTGTTGCAAATGGCAGGATTTCCTTCTTTTTCTACGGTGGGTGATATTCCATTTTGTGTGTGTGTGTGTGTGTGTGTGTGTATATATACATATACCACATTTTCTTTATCCATTCATCTGTCAATGCACACATAGGTTATTTCCATGTCTTGGTTATTATTGTGAATAATGCTTCAATGAACACAGGAATAGAGATATCTCTTCAATCGTCTATTTTCATTCCTTTGGATAAATACCGAGAAGTGGAATTGCTGGATCATATGGTAGTTCTGTTTTTAATTTCTTGAGGACACTCCATACTGTTTTCCACAGTGGCTCTATCAATTTACATTCCCACCAAAGGTGCACAAGGTTTCCCTTTTCTCTACATTCTTGCCAGCATTTGTTATCTCTTTCCTTTTGATAACAGACATCCCCTTAAACATCCTAATAGGTGTAAGGTGATATCTCATTGTGGTTTTGATCTGCATTTCCCTGATAATTAGTGATGTTGAGCACCTTTTCATTTACCTGTTTGGCTGTTTGTATGTCTTCTTTGGAAAAAATGTCTATTCAGGTCCTCTGCCCATTTCTAAATTAGATCATTTGGTTTTTGTTATTGAGTTGTATAAGTTCTTTATATTTTGGAAATTAACCTCTTATCAGATATATGATTTGCAACTATTTTCTCCCATTTCATAGGTTGCCTTTTCATTTCATTGATGGTTTCACTTTCTGTGCAGCAGCTTTTTAGTTTGACGTCATCCCACTCATTTATTTTTCCTTTTGTTACTTGTGCTTTTGTTGTCAAATCCAAAAAACTCATTGCCAATACTGGAGTCAAGGAGCTTACCCTTTATGTTTTCTTCTAGGAGTTTCATGGTTTCTGGTCCTAAATTTAAATCTTAATCAATTTGAGTTGATTTTTGTGTATGGTGTAAGATAAGGATCCAGTTTCATTCTTCTGCATGTGGCTGTCTGGTTTTCCCACCACCATTTATGAAGAGACTTTCCCAACCCTATTGTATATATTCCTGGCTCCTTTGTTGTAAATTAATTGACATACATGCATAGGCTTTTTTTCTGGGCTTTCTATTCTGTTCCATTGATCTATGTGACTATTTTTATGCCAATACCATACTCTTTTAATTACAATAGCTTTGTAATACGGTTTGAAATGAGGAAGTGTGATATTTACACCTTTATTCTTTTTTCTCAAGATTCCTTTGACTATTCAGGGTCTTTGTGGCTGTAGGATGGGCTCTGTGGCTGCCCAGGCTCTCTGGCCAGGCATTCTGGATGGGTGGGAGTGGAGGCTATACTTAGCAGTTGGGTGGAGCTCCATGGCCAGGGTGGCACATTGACTGGGAACCCAAACCAGGCAGAACTGCCAACCGAGCTCTCTGGCCAGATGGGGTCACTACTCAGCTCTGCAGATGGGCAGAGGCACTAGCTGGGATCCCTGCTTGGGCACTGCTGCAAGCAGGAATTCAGTTTACCAAGATCTGACTGCTGGTTTCTGTAAGTCCTTCCCCCCTCTCCTTCTCCAGTGGTCAAACCCCCCAGATTCTCCCAGTGATCCCCTGTGGAAAGATCTGAGTGGGCCTCCTGGAGAGCATTCAACAATCTGGGGGCACTGGGCTTTCTTTTCCCACTGGAGAAACCATAGGCTTAGGGGGACTGTCTTGATGTGGTGTTGTGCTAGCCAGGGGGAGGGGCAATCTGCTCAGAGTGTTATTGCTCCTGTTATCCTTCTAAGGTCATCCTTCTCAGTCTCTGTGGCTCAGGAGGTGCTTCAACCTCACAACTGTGTTCTGGGATTTTCACAGTGGTGTCTTGTTTATGGATAGCTGCTAATTGGTCTTCTTGATGATCACTGAACACTTTTTATACTAGAAGAATATATTTGTCTACTCAAGTAGTTGTTTCTGGAGCTAAGTGTATTATATACATTATAAATTGCACTTACAGACTTTGTTCTTACAGATTTTGAGCCCTTGAGATTGTTTTCATAAAATATGATCTCTCTTGTTATTTTCCACCATGTGGACCAACACTGGGATTTGTTCATCTTCATTTTTGAGTTCTAATTAATACCTGGAAAAATACTTTCTGTGTAGTAGGTGTTCAGGTAATGCTTGTTTATTGGCTTTTGTTTACCTGAAAGAAATCATTGAAAAACTGGCTGTGGTCACCAAAGGTGTATTTTCTTGCAGAGTTATAGTATCCAAGCCATACATTGACAGTTGGAAGATTTATGCTTCTATTTTGGGAAGTAGAAGAAATATAATTGGGAACTGAGCTGAAAAGAAAAAGAAAATGCTCTAATATTCTTTCAATATCCATGGCATTATTTTAAATCATTTCAGAGTGCAACGAGATTTACATGTGGGAAATGGCATCCTTGCTGACTGCAACATGGATTGTAACTGTCCAACTAAAATATGGGACCCTGTATGTGGAAATGATGGTTTGTCATACATGTCAGCTTGTCTTGCAGGTTGTGAGACATCCTCTGGAACAGGAATAAACATGGTAACACATCTTATTGGCCTTTTATACAGAATTTTTGTTTTATGCACTGCATTGGCACATTCCAACTATGAACTGGGTCCATATTTGACAAAAGTAAAATTAAAGTCTTTCCTCAAAACAAAATTATAATTTTTTTTGTGGAAAAAATAAGTTAATTTCTATGTGCTCACTTAATTTATCTTTTACTTCCTAGATCTTATTTGAATTCTTCTGCATGTCTGAGCTCTGATCTTTAATTTCATAACAGTTGACATTTTACTTAATGTCATTTAAAAATACTCTAGACTGAAAAAAAAATACTCTAGACTGAGATAAAGTAGGCAGTTTTGCTCTCAATTATCCAGTCAATCTCTTTGTTGGGTTTTTTTTCTTTTTTCCTGTGTATATCTACACATGTACTTTCTGTGTTTTTACATCGTGACAGCTTTTTAAGAAGATAGAATTGGGCATGTTTTCTTGCCTAAAAAATGTCACTTATAATGTTAGTTGGTGATCAAAATAAAATACACATTTTGTTTTTTTATTTTATTGCTGGGTCAAAACATATACAAAATTCTAACGTTTATAATGGTTATTTATTCATTTATTTAAAACATCTTTATTGGAGTATAATTGCTTTACAATGGTGTGTTAGTTTCTGCTTTATAACAAAGTGAATCAGTTATACATATACATATGTCCCCATATCTCTTCCCTCTTGTGTCTGCCTCCCTCCCACCCTCCCTAACCCACCCCTCTAGGTGGTCACAAGGCACCAAGCTGATCTCCCTGTGCTATGCGGCTGCTTCTCACTAGCTATCTATTTTACATTTGGTAGTCTATGTATGTCCATGCCACTCTCTCACTTTGTCCCAGCTTACCCTTCCCCCTCCCCGTGTCCTCAAGACCATTCTCTAGTAGGTCTGTGTCTTTATTCCCGTCTTGCCCATAAGTTCTTCAGGACCATTTTTTTTCTTTATTCCATATATATGTGTTAGCGTACGGTATTTGTTTTTCTCTTTCTGACTTACTTCACTCTGTATGACAGACTCTAAATCCATCCACCTCACTACAAATAACTCAATTTCGTTTCTTTTTATGGCTGAGTAATATTCCATTGTATATATGTGCCACATCTTCTTTATCCCTTCATCTGTTGATGGAAACTTAGGTTGCTTCCATGTCATGGCTATTGTAAATAGAGCTGCAATGAACATTTTGGTACATGACTCTTTTTGAATTATGGTTTTCTCAGGGTATATGCCCAGTAGTGGGATTGCTGGGTCAAATGGTAGTTGTATTTGTAGTCTTTTAAGGAAACTCCATACTGTACTCCATAGTGGCTGTATCAATTTACATTCCCACCAACAGTGCAAGAGGGTTCCATTTCCTCCACACCCTCTCCAGCATTTATTGTTTGTAGATTTTTTGATGATGGCCTTTCTGACCGGTGTAAGATTATATCTCATTGTAGTTTTGATTTGCATTTCTCTAATGATTAATGATGTTGAGCATTCTTTCATGTCTTTGTGGCAATCTGTATATCTTCTTTGGAGAAATGTCTATTTAGGTCTTCTGCCGATTTCTGATTTGGGTTGTTTGTTTCTTTGATATTGAGCTGCATGAGCTGCTTGTAAATTTTGGAGATTAATCCTTTGTCAGTTGCTTCATTTGCAAATATTTTCTCCCATTCTGAGGGTTGTCTTTTCGTCTTGTGTATGGTTTCCTTTGCTGTGCTAAAGCTTGTAAGTTTCATTATGTCCCATTTGTTTATTTTTGTTTTTATTTCCATTTCTCTAGGAGGTGGGTCAAAAAGGATCTTGCTGTAATTTATGTCATAGAGTGTTCTGCCTATGCTTTCCTCTAAGATTTGATAATGTCTGGCCTTATATTTAGGTCTTTAATCCATTTTGAGTTTATTATTGTGTATGGTGTTAGGGAGTGTTCTAATTTCATACTTTTACATGTACCTGTCCAGTTATCCCAGCACCACTTATTGAAGAGGCTGTCTTTTCTCCACTGTATATTCTTGCCTCCTTTATCAAAGATAAGGTGACCATATGTGCATGGGTTTATCTTTGGGCTTTCTATCCTGTTCCACTGATCTATATTTCTGTTTTTGTGCCACTACAGTATTGTCTTGATTACTGTCGCTTTGTAGTATAGTCTGAAGTCAGGGAGCCTGATTCCTCCAGCTCCTTTTTTCTTTCTCAAGATTGCTTTGTTTATTCGGAGATTTTTGTGTTTCCAAACAAATTGTGAAATGTTTTGTTCTGTGAAAAATGCCAGTGGTAGTTTGCTAGGGATTGCATTGAATCTGTAGATTGCTTTGGGTAGTAGAGTCATTTTCACAATGTTGATTCTTCCAATCCAAGAACATGGTATATCGCTCCATCTATTTGTATCATCTTTAATTTCTTTCATCAGTGTCTTATAATTTTCTGCATACAGGTCTCTTGTCTCCTTAGGTAGGTTTATTCCTAGATATTTTATTCTTTTCATTGCAATGGTAAATGGGAGTGTTTTCTTAATTTCACTTTCAGATTTTTCATCATTAGTGTATAGGAATGCAAGAGATTTCTGTGCATTAATTTTGTATCCTGCTACTTTACCAAAGATGCTGGTAGGAATCTCTATGTATAGTATCATGTCATCTGCAAACAGTGACAGCTTTACTTCTTCTTTTCCGATTTGGTATCCTTTTATTTCTTTCTCTTCTCTGATTGCTGTGGCTAAACCTTCCAAAACTATGTTGAATAATAGTGGTGAGAGTGGCAACCTTGTCTTGTTCCTGATCTTAGTGGAAATGCTTTCAGTTTTTCACCATTGAGGATGATGTTGGCTGTGGGTTTGTCATATATGGCCTTTATTATGTTGAGGAAAGTTCCCTCTATGCCTACTTTCTGCAGGGTTTTTATCATAAATTGGTGTTGACTTTTGTTGAAAGCTTTCTCTGTATCGATTGAGATGATCATATGGTTTTCCTCCTTCAGTTTGTTAATATGGTGTATCACATTGATTGATTTGCATATATTGAAGAATCCTTGCATTCCTGGGATAAACCCCACTTGATCATGGTGTGTGATCCTTTTAATGTGCTGCTGGATTCTGTTTGCTAGTATTTTGTTGAGGATTTTTGCATCTATGTTCATCAGTGATATTGGCCTGTAGTTTTCTTTCTTTGGGACATCTTTGTCTGGTTTTGGTATCAGGGTGATGGTGGCCTCGTAGAATGAGTTTGGGAGTGTTCCTCCCTCTGCTATATTTTGGAAGAGTTTGAGAAGGATAGGTGTTAGCTCTTCTGTAAATGTTTGATAGAATTCATCTGTGAAGCCATCTGGTCCTGGGCTTTTGTTTGTTGGAAGAATTTTAATCACAGTTTCAATTTCAGTGCTTGTGATTGGTCTGTTCATATTTTCTATTTCTTCCTGGTTCAGTCTCGGAAGGTTGTGCATTTCTAAGAATTTGTCCATTTCTTCCAGGTTATCCATTTTATTGGCATATAGTTGCTTGTAGTAATCTCTCATGATCCTTTGCATTTCTGCAGTGTCAGTTGTTACTTCTCTTCTTTCATTTATAATTCCATTGCGTCTTCTCCTTTTTTTTCATGATGAGTCTCGCTAATGGTTTATCAATTTTGTTTATCTTCTCAAAGAACCAGCTTTTAGTTTTATTGATCTTTGCTATCGTTGCCTTCATTTCTTTTTCATTTATTTCTGATCTGATTTTTATGATTTCTTTCCTTCTGCTAACTTTGGGTATTTTTTGTTCTTCTTTCTCTAATTGCTTTAGGTGTAAGGTTAGGTTGTTTATTTGAGATGTTTCTTGTTTCTTAAGGTAGGATTGTATTGCTATAAACTTCCCTCTTAGAACTGCTTTTGCTGCATCCCATAGGTTTTGGGTCATTGTGTTTTCATTATCATTTGTTTCTAGGTATTTTTTGATTTCCTTGTTGATTTCTTCAGTAATCTCTTGGTTATTAAGTAGTGTATTGTTTAGCCTCCATGTGTTTGTATTTTTCACAGATTTTTTCCTGTAATTGATATCTAGTCTCATAGCGTTGTGGTCAGAAAAGATACTTGATACGATTTCAACTGCCTTAAATTTACCAAGGCTTGATTTGTGACCCAAGATATGATCTATCCTGCAGAATGTTCCATGAGCACTTGAGAAGAATGTGTATTTTGTTGTTTTTGGATGGAATGTCCTATAAATATCAATTATCTCCATCTTCTTTAATGTATCATTTAAACCTTGTGTTTCCTTATTCATTTTCATTTTGTATGATCTGTCCATTCGTGCAAGTGGGGTGTTAAAGTCCCCTACTATGATTGTGTTACTGTCAATTTCCCCTTTCATGGCTGTTAGCATTTGCCTTATGTATTGAGGTGCTCCTATTTTGGGTGCATAAATATTTACAATTGTTATATCTTCTTCTTGGATTGATCCCTTGATCATTATGTAGTGTCCTTCTTTGTCTCTTGTAATAGTGTTTATTTTAATGTCTATTTTGTCTGATATGAGAATTGCTACTCCAGCTTTCTTTTGATTTCCATTTGCATGGAATATCTTTTTCCATCCCCTTACTTTCAGTCTGTATGTGTCCCTAGGTCTGAAGTGGGTCTCTTGTAGACAGCATATATACAGGTCTTGTTTTTGTATCCATTCAGCCAGTCTGTGTCTTTTGGTTGGAGCATTTAATCCATTTACATTTAAGTTAATTATTGATATGTATGTTCCTATTCCCATTTTCTTAATTGTTTTGGGTTTGTTATTGTAGGTCTTTTGTGTCTGTCCCCAGCGGCTAAGGTTTGTTCAGTGGGTTGTGTAGGGTTCCTGGTGGAGGGGAATAGTGCCTGTGTTCTGGTGGATGAGGCTGGATCTTGTCTTTCTGATGGGCAGGTCCACGTCTGGTGTGTGTTTTGGGGTGTCTGTGGCCTTATTATGATTTTAGGCAGCCTCTCTGCTAATGGTGGGGTTGTGTTCCTGTCCTGCTAGTTGTTTGGCATAGGGTGTACAGCACTGTAGTTTGCTGGTCGTTCAGTGAAGCTGGGTCTTGGCGTTGACATGGAGATCTCCTGGAGATTTTCACCGTTTGATATTTCTTAGAGCTGGGAGGTCTCTTGTGGACCAGTGTCCTGAACTTGGCACTCCTACCTCAGAGGCACAGCCCTGATGCCTGGCTGGAGCACCAGGATCCTGTTATCCACACAGCTCAGAATAAATGGGAGAAAAAAATAGAAAGAAAGTAGAAGATAAAATAAAATAAAGTAACATAAAATAAAGTTATTTAAATAAAAATACTTATTAAAAAAGTTTTTAAGTCATAAAAAGTAAAAAAAAAAAGAAAGAAAGAAGAGAGCAACCAAACCAAAAACCAAATACACCAATGATAACAAGTGCTAAAAACCATACTTAAAAAAAAAAAACAAAAAACGAACAGACAGAACCATAGGACAAATGGTAAAATCAAAGCTATAGAGAGAAAATCACACACAGAAGCATACACATACACACTCAACAAAATAGAAAAAGGGTTAAATATATATATATATATATATATATATATATATATATATATA